TCATGTAAACACCATACGCCAGGGGGCAGGAGACTGCTCTCTAACCCCAGAAGTTGCCTGCTGCTAGGGCAGGCTCTTCCTCTGGAGCCTGGGTGGGGACAATGTCCCCCTGCCCTGGCAGCAGGGAGCTCCAAGACCCCTACTTCAAGATTGAGATTGGGGCATGGGGGCTGGAAGTTCCTTATCTCCCAGTGCCAGCTCCATGATCCTAGAGTCAGCACTGGGAGACCCTTATCCCAGCACCAGCTCTGACAGTGGGGCTGGTGCTGGGAGATAAGGATCTTCCAGTGACAGCCCTGCAATGAGGAGCCAGCACTGGGAGCTCCCTGCTAACAGGGGCTGGGGAGCCTGTTTCCTGCCCACCTCCGCACTTGCAGACCTGAGCAGGGAACAAGCTCCTTAGCCTGTTCCCTGCCCAGCTCCCTGCTCATGCATCTGAACCGGGAACAAACTCCCCAGCCTGCACCCCACAATTGTGGAGCAGGGGCTGGGAACTGTCTTGATCAGAGGCAAGTTCCAGCCCCATGCCCTGATTGGGTGATTGAGGCTTGGGGCTTGGAAAGAGCTGCAGAGGTGGGCTAGGTCCCAGCACCCTGCCCCAATCTGCCAGTGGGGCAGCTAACAGAGCTAGCTGCTAGCTGCCCTACTGGAGAATCAGGACCAGGGACTGGGACCTGCCCCTCCCCTGCAGCTCTTTCCAAATCCCCTTCCTCTAACTGGGGAGCCAGAGCCAGGAGCTCTCTGCCCCAGCAGAAGACAACCCCGGGGGCAGGATGTAATGTCCCAGCCCTGTCCAAGAGATGGCTGTCTCCTGGCCCATTGCTCCCTGCCAGCCCCTGGGCTAGCACCCAGGGAGAACCTAGAGCTCTACCTAGTGATGGCAGGGGCCCACTACAGGGCCCCAGGAAGCAGAAGCAATTTGCTGCCATTAGCAGCAAATCTGTTCCCCTTTCCCTGCATGTGTAGATGCCTGCCCAGGAGTGTTTACTCATGAGTAAACTGATCCTGGATCAAATGTATGTGTAGATGTGCCCAGAGTAAGCAGCACTGTTCATAGCATATTAGCTTTAGATCACTAACATTCAGAAAGTTTTTCAAAATACATTCTATTCTTAAACTGCTCTTTGTTAGAGTGCTATCTTACCAATGAAAACCCCTGTTTTGGTGCCACTGATGGTTTCTCTAGCAATTCCTGCATCTTCCAGTGCTCTGTATGTGCATTCCAGGAGTAACTTGTGTTGAGGGTCCATGCGTTCAGCTTCCAGATCATTAATTCCAAACATTTTGTTGTCAAATGTGTTAAAACTGAGAAGTACAAACCAGAAGATGATTTGATTCATAAAATATGCACTGCTAAAGAGTTACCTTTTAATAGCTTCATGTTCATTTATAATTTCATGGTAATCTAATGTGGGAGCTGCCAGTCCATTACTGCATACAAATTAATGGCCTATGGGTTGGTCTCTTCTTTTAAATATCTAAAACAGCAGTCCAGCTACTCTGCACTTCAAGTTATGAGTCATTGTGGAAGCTTTTGCTCACACAATTAGTCCATTAATATCAGTAAGACTAAATACTAGGGCAGTCAAACGATTAACAAGTTTGATCTCAATTAGCTGTGCATTTTTTAAAAATTAGTTGCAATTAAACACAATTCTAATTCTATAGCTAAAAACCCAATTATGCACAGGAAAACTCAAAATTATGCAAAATTATGCAGATACATTGTATAGTTGGGGGGTGGGGTATGTGTGTGGTGAGAGTTTGTGAGGGTGTGGGAGGCTGTGTCTGTGGGGACTGGAGCCCAGGGAAGAGGGGCCTCCACATGCCCTGGCAGGATGCGGGGTACTATGGGTCAGGAGTGAGGTGCAGCAGCATGGCTGGGGGTCTGTGGCTTGGAATTGACGGGCAAGGGGAAGGGCAGAGACCGGGCACAGGCAGATCACTGTCCCCTGCCACAATCACATTACTCCTGCCCCTTGATAGGTGTCCTTTTTTATGGAACTGGAAATCTGGTAACCCTCAGAGCAGTGCCCAGCAGGTAAGTTTGTGGAAGCAAGGGGGTGGGGCAGATCAAGGCCCCCACAGTGAGGGAGGGAGTGGGGTAGGGTCAGGGATGAATGGGACCTTGGGGTTGGGGTGGGTCATGGGAGAGAGCCATGGGCAGCTCATCCGGGACAAGAGGGGGGCACACTGTGTGCACTCCTGGGGGAGGCATGGGGAGCACGTGCCCCCTGGATTTGTGAGTGTGGCAGAGGCAGGCTGCCTGCTGTGGGCTGGGGCTCTGCACCCTGCTGCTTTTGCCCTAGGAGTTGCATGCTGGCCATGCCGCGCTTCCTGCCTGCCTGGCAGCAGGAGGCACAACATGTCATCATCATGCAGCTCCTCTGGGGGTGCACGCAGCAGCAGGGAGCCATGTCCCTGCCAAGCCTTCACCCCTGGATGAGCTGCCCACAGCTCCATCCCATAACTTGCCCCGGCCCCAGGATCCCATTCACCCCAGCCCCTGCCCCACTGCCTCCCTCACCATGGAGGCCTCAATCTGCCCCCCATCCCTTCTCCCTCCTCCCAACCATTCCCCTCTACAGACTTACCTGCTGGGCACTGCTCCATGTGCCACCGGGCTGCATTTCTGGCTGCATGCATGCTGTAGCTGTGTGCTTGGACATAGCATCCCAATATGGCACCAATATATCAGTGGACCTCTTGTGTGTGCATGTGCGTGCACATGCAAGTGCATGTGTGAATATGACCTGCCCCTTCCTGCTGCAGCAGCCCAGAGCCTGCACCCGGGTTGCCCTGCAGTCTTCTGCACTGCCACTGCTATCCCACTGGGTGGCCCAGAGGCAGCATTGATGGTGATGGAGCAGAGCCCAGGCACAGGTTCCGAAACCATGTCTGCAATTAACTAATTTAAAAAATTAATGCAAGAACCAATTAACACATTAATCACACATGTTAACGCTTCATTGACAGCCCTACTAAATACATTAGTAAGTATTGGCAGGATTCAGTTTAGTGTAGCGTGATCTCAGTCACCAACTTTTAAATATATCTTCTTCTAAATTATATTTAGGGAGACTGTGGGCCTAGCCCTATTCTCTCTAAAATGAGTGGGAATAGAGTGAGACCAAATGTTTTGAAGTGAAATGTCTTTTTAACAAAATAAGCAGAAAAGGTTTTTACACACATGCACACTAAATATACTTTAATCTTTGCATAAAGTGTTGTCTCTTAAAGTGGTCCCATCACTTACAAATATTTAGGGTCCTACAAACGCTTATTTATACAAGTAATCCTTATTCCCAGGAGTAATCTACTGAAGGAGATAGCATGTGAATATGATTAGGGGCTTGTGGCAATGGAACTCAAGTGAAATATGGACTTAAACTAAAAAAGGTCCAAGTACTTTTTTGCATCTTAGTTTTCATGCTCCTACCCATGAACAACCCACTTTCTCCTTCCTTGGAAAAGTCACAACAGAAGGTATGTGAAAGTAGAGATACAAATGCTCTTTTCCGTCTAGCCGTCTCCAAAAATATTAGTCCTTACAACAGTATGTTTGCCAAATAGTTATAGGAATTCACACAAACTAAATTTTAAAAATACATAAAAAGTGAAACTAGTAACGGAAGATCAAAAAAGTAGTAAGGGAAAATTATTTTAAAATATAATTTTATTTCATTTTATAAGCAATGAGATTTACCAGGTACAGGTTAAACTTCCTTTCCTGAGGCTCCTCTGAACAAAGAACTCAGGTATTTTTTCATAGCTCTTCTGAAGCGTAAATGTTATTAACTTCAGTAGGAACAGAAATAGAGTTCAAATATCTAACTTAAAAGACTGACTAATGGTTTAGAGCACAGTGACAGACTTACCTGTCCAGAAGAGCTGCTTGTGTTGTGCATATTTTTCCAGGTTTGTTATCATCTGGATCATACCACTCTTTGGTGTCAAATCTCTCTAGAGGAATTTCTACAGTACAGTTTCTGCCTTCTACTAGTACTTTCCAGAAATTGTCAATTCCTTCACCTGTTGCATGAATAGTTTTTAGAAGCAGGTTATATTGTTTTTCACACAAAGCATTTACTAAAAAAGAACCCCTCGTCTATAAGTCTAGTTTCTTAAAGTAAGATCTAACATCCTCTCTTTAAAAAAGTTAAGTAACTAAAAATAAGGAAAATGAATTTTTTTTCAGTGATATGGACACTGAAGCTCTGCAAATGAATGGGAATATTTATTCCTCAGACTTACTTTTTAAAAACAACCCATGTTTTTATTCCTGTTTGGGAAGTGTTGGAAAATTTGCCAAGACATTAGCTTGAGTCTAACATTGAGGCCCTTGTCACAATGCTATTAGAAGCAACAATATATTAAGTGATTAAAATTCAATATATCATGAGTAGACAAACTACAACAGAATTCTGGATCATTCATATCTGGGTGGTTCACAGCTCAGTGAATTTGCAGCAGATTGCCAAATTTAGAACAAACCACTCAGCTGATTGCTTTGACTTTTATTTCAAAAAGAGTGCTATTTCTGTGATCAGATAGCACTCATCATTAGTTCCACACAACTTCCCATAGAAGCAGCAATTCTGAAGTAATTCAGCAGTCCTGTATGGCTATTTGTTGCAATTCTGTATATTCTGAGATACTTCATAAACCAATATCTTTGCAAGGTGGAAGGCAGGGCAGGGTGGCACCTTATAGACTAACTCATTCCGAGATGCATGAGTTTTCGTAGGTTACAGCATACTTCATCAAGTTAGCAATTCAGTCCTGCAAAGTAGGTGGGTTCTAGTGTACTTGCTTCTCTGCATAATACCACCTATATCCCTGTCCACTGCATAATCCTACGTCTGTAATCCAATCCAACCCTCACCTTCTCTTTTCCCCCTCTTGCTTGTTCTCAGCCTCATTTGTCTATCTGATTGAAGAAGACTTTTTGGGTTGGGCAAGTTCTTTAAGACAGAACCTGGGTCTTCCTTTGTGCTTATACAGTGCCTAACAGTGGTTTTCAACCTTTTTTCATTTGTGGACCCCTAAAAAATTTTGAATGGAGGTACAGACCCCTTTGGAAATTTCAAATGGAAGGGTGGACCGCTTTGAATTGTAAGTGTAAATATTCACACACTTTTGTTTGAACATAGTCATCTTTCACAGACCCCTTAGACATGGACTCCTGGGGATCCACAGACTATGGATCACAGATTGAAAACCACTACCTTACAAAATGGACCTGAATTCAAGCACAATTCTGTTGGTGACCCATTGGTACTGACCCTTTGAAAAACTGTGCCCTTGTATATACAGAGAAATTGTGCCAGTTTACCTAAAATCAGTTAATGAAGTCACACATATGGTAAATGGGTGACACTTTACCCTTTTTCGTTTCTTACAATCCCATAATAGAGCACTTGTTTATTTTTTTCCAGAAGTCAGTTTCAGTTGTTTACAAGGTCTGTGTACAGACGTTCAAATGATCTGGGGGAATTCTCCAGAGTTTGTTTTCATAGTAGAAAAATTTTACCTGGAGACACCTGAACAGATATTTGAATGCAGAGCCCCTGAAGAGCAGAGAGATTTCTGAGTATCCAGGGGGACCCTGTGAACACATCTCAGCAGGCTCTGCAGGGTCCCTCAGTCTGCTTGGAGAGAGATGGCAGCGGTGCACAGGGCAGCCCTGATTGGCTGACCCAGAATATTCAGGGTGAGCCTGTGTCCACCTGTAGCTCACTGTGTAAATTGTGAAGGTGGGGGGTGTCATGCTCCCTGCTCAGCTAAAGCAGTAGAGTCCAGCCCAAGTAACATACAGTCTCCTTGTGGGGAGTGTAGGAAAAGCACCCTAGGATGCTAGAAGACTATGTTATGGCCTTTCTCACAAGAGTAAGTTGTATAGACATTAACTTTCCCAGGAGAACCTGGGTGTGATTTTAACTCTGGTTGTTCCTGGGTTATTTTTCTTCTGAATAGGCCATTTTTGCTTTGGAAGACAAATCCTGAAGATTTGTACACTCATGGTTTCTACTGGGAGAGCAGTAACTCTTGCAGGAGACACCAAATGTCTGTACATAGCCAAGGCTTCATTGCTTCTTTCTGTGAGTGCAGGCAGCCAAGGTTTGTAGGGGACAGAGTTTGAGTTTTATCTGCCTAGGAAGACAGCTCTATTTGCATAGAGATCATAGAATCAATGAGTCCGAAGGGACCTAGACAGATCATCCAGTCTGACCCCCTGCCATGGGCAGGAAGGAGCACTGGGGGTGGCAGAGGTCATAAGACCCCAGCCAGGTGCCCATCCAGTCTCCTCTTGAAGATCTCCAGGGAAGGTTAGAGCACCATCCTTCTGGGAAGCCTATTCCAGGCTCTGGCCACCCTTACAGTGAAGTAGTTCTTCCTAATATCCAACCTAAACCTATCCTCCCTCAGCTTGTGGCCATTGTTCCTGGTGACTCCAAGGGGGGCCCTGGTGAACAGATTTTCCCCGAGTC